TATAAAGTCTATAAAGCGTCCAAATTAAAAAACAAAACAAAACAAAACAAACAAACAAACAAACAAAAAAACAAAACAAAACAAAAAAAACAAAAAACCACTCCAGAGTGAAGGCCACAGGCTGGAGCAGGAAAGGTTGTCATCACAGACAGCTCCCATGGCAGCAGGAGGCATTCTGAGGCAGAGGCAGGAAGTATCACCACGGACAGCTCCCGCTGAGGCTTTGCTCTGGATCTGCCGCCATCTTGTCTCCCTCCTCCAGGGCCCCAGGGCGGGAAGGAGGTGCTGACTGCACTGAGGCGGGAAGGGGAGCTGGCAGGAGCACTTTCACCAATTATTTATTGTCCCCTGGACAGAGCTCTTGGGGGTGCAGTGGGCCTTTGGATTCCCGGCTGCCCCAGGGTGGGGGAGGCGGCAGTGGCTCACCACAGCTTGTGGGGCATCAGAACCGGCTTGGGCTGAGTGGAGACAGCCGAGGCTTGGAATCGCCTCAGCCTGGGGCGTCCGCTGCACCAGGCTTGGGGTGGCAGGTTGACTCAGCAACAGCCTGACACTGTCTAAAAGCACTCCCACTCATGGTGCTTCCACAGCTAGCTTTTGCTCAAAAGCTTTGCTGCTCATGACTAAGGATTTGTCCTCCACGGTCGGTCTCCATCCATGGTTTTCATCCCTTCCATGTAGCAAGTGGATATGGCAGCTCAGATAATGTTAGCAATCAGGGACAAATCTGAACATGATTCCTCTATGCTAGTCATTGTTCCAAGAACTTTGCAAACAACTCGTCTCCCCTGTGCTAGGCTTTGGAGGGCAAGATTCGTATTTCTTAAGCTTTGCAGACACAAATGTGGCACTGTGAATTCAGGTGACCCACCTAGACACTCAGGGATTGCTTCTGGTGCTGAAGCCAGTTCAGCTTGCTCCCTGTCTCAACCACGGGACACACGAGTCAGTCCTCTACTAACTTTACAGGAACCACCTCAACAACCTTAGAGAACTGATGAAAGAAGAGAAAGAGGAGGAGGAGGAGGAGGAGGAGGAGGAGGAGGAGGAGGAGGAGGAGGAATAACTCTTCAATGCCCTATGACTGCTCCATTTCCTCTGGCCTTATGGTCGTCTACTATCTACCATTAAGTGCAATTACTATAAGTTCATACTACATCAATTATCGGCTAATCCCTTAGACACTAATTAAATAAAACATCAGGGATAACTTCCCAGCCAGAGGAGAACAAGCTTCTACACTGTGTCTGGGGAAAAAGAGCAGAGCCCTCCTGGAAAAGAGCGCAGAGGGTGAGGTCAAGGTGAACCTGGGGAATGATTGTGAAATCACAAGGAAGTGTGGTAGAAGCTGTCTAAACCCCCTGACTTTGGCAATAAGCTGAACTGTCTATTTAAGTGTGGAAGCTGTTCTACCATATCAAAGCAACCACAACTCAACGCTCTTGCAATTCTGAAGATTTTCTGTGGCCAGAGGAAAGCACAGTTGACCCAGTCTTCCCAGAAAACCTGCAGCCAGAAAAAGTCCTTGCTACTTCCAAGCCAAGAATGACCTGTCTACACCTGCTGAGCACCAAGTTCAGGTAGGCATAAGGTCTCTGCAACTTCATCAGAACAACACCATCATCCTAGCATTCCTTCTGCATTTGCAGTGAGTGCCTTCCTAAATACTCACTCCCCAGTGCAGACCAGCACAGGCTGAAAAGAATGCTCCCTCCCTGAGCCAGGTCCTCTGTAGATGCCAGAGAACCATGGAAGGTAAGGGTCAGTCCTGGGCTCTAGATAACTTAGAGACTGCATCATAGAGAGGCTTTGTGACATCTACTTCTGGATAAAATTTCAGGTGGAGGCTAGCTTGTAGAATGAAACCTTTGCTTCACTTAGTATAGGAAAAATGTTGGCTGAAAACTGTCATGGAGAGAGTGCACATTACTTCCTCACCGCGCTGGGGAAGGCTTAATTTTACTCTCATCAGAACTGTCAGAGATCGACTGCCGTTGATCCAGGACACAAAAATCCCTCCTTGTCTTGAAAACCTCAGTAAAGGAGAATGCCTTACCACCAAGGCTCAGTGTGCTCTGAACCCGGCTTATGAGAGCAGGGACTGAGGTCTTGACTGCCCAGGCTGGGGAATTTTAAATTTCAGATTGAGGGGCTAATAAGAAGTAAAATCTCATGCTCAAGTGTGTTTGCCCATCTCAGGAGCTGATTTCTGGAAGTTTTACATGCTGCGCTGAGTTTGATTTTTTTTTCCCTCTTGAATGGTGGAGTAAGTCACATTTCTATCAGGTCCCAAAGGAATTTCAACAGCAGTTGCTAAGAATGAGATGAGATAGATAAGCAAACAGATGATTTAACAGCTGGTAGGTAGGTAAGTAGATACATAGATAGACCAATAGGCAGATACATACAGACACATGAAAACAAGATCAATCAGAGGATTGTATAGCACGCAGAGGATGACACCTGTCATGGGAGCACATGTCAGCCTTGTGCAGACAGAACCACAAGATCATGGCTGGAGCTAAAAATGAAAAGTACCTCAGAAACAACCTGGATGCTTTGAGCCATCATGACCAGGGAGATGTCAGCTGTGGATGAGGGGGAAGAGGATGTGCTGGCGTTGGGAGCACGGTTGATGGGTGATGTCATCTTGGATGTGTCTGCCCACAATGTCAGGAAAGGGGAAGAAACTTCCAAAACTACAGCTGAAGGCATGGGTCTAGAAGAACTCTGCTCTGGTGTCACCATGCCAGATGTGGACATTAATGTGCTGGCCCTTGAAGGGAACTTGCACCTCAGAGAACAGTTGAGACAAGGGGCATGTGTTGGTGGTATAGTGACCAGATAGAGGCATTCCAGGAGAGCCAGGAAATGCAGAGAATAGAGGGAGAGAGCTGGAGAGCAGAGTGACAGCCTGGCATTGAGCTGTTTCGTCTCCATGGAGGCTGTCAAGGACACAGGAGGACTAAGATCCCACCACTACCACCATGAAGGCAGACAAATCTAGCCTCAAACTCCAGTGTGAGACTTAAACCATGGGTTTTCTAGATGTACTGTGTCCTTTCACAGCTCACTGTGTTAACACAGGGTTCCTGAGCTCACCAGGGATAATTCCTGCTCATTGAAGTGAATGCTTTTGAGAGATTTTGATAGAATAGTGCAAGAATTGAATGTTTTCGCATGCCTGAGAGCATTGTTGCAAAAAAAAACCTTAGTTTTTGAAGCTAGAGGAAATTGTTACTCACCCATCTAAACTTTAGGATTCAAGTCATTTTCACGTGACAACACAGTTCTTTGCATTATCCTGTGGAGGAGGTGAGCCTGCTGCGATATCTGACTTGAGCAGACTCCACTAGCGCTCCCTGTGTACACTAAGTGCAAATCAAGGATTACGATGGGTACTGTGTAAATTGCCTTCATGTGAGATTGATTTTCAGTTTTCTTCAAAGCATTTCATCCCCACTGTGGGGTCAAAGCACTCGGGGAATATGGGAAGCGAGAATGACCCTCCCTGCTCAGGCAGCAAGCTGTCATGGCTCCAGCTGCAAACTGCTGCAACCCTGAGGTCATGTCTTGCAGACAACAAGGAATAAAGGCTGAGGACTCAAGACTTGAGCACTTCAACCCACACTGTTAATTAGAGAGAGAAAAAAATACACACCCATGAAGAATAAAGATTCTAAGAAAAAATACTGGTTAAGTGGAAAGGACTACATGTTTTATATGGTTACAGACAGTGGAAACAGTGGCAGGTAAGAAGTAAAACAGTCTTCTGCTGCGTAGATGACACATTTCTCCTCAGCAATGGTGCCCATCATAATCTATCAAGATTATCGGAGGCTGTCAGGCAGGCAGAGAGCCTTGACCCATACAGTCCCCACACACAGCAGAGCTTTGACCAATGTTTGATTGTCATTGGAGAGTTTTTCCAGATGGTTGAGGTCTCCAGCAATCAAAGGCATACTGCAGCCAACTCCTAACTGCCTGATTTTACATTGTCTCCTACCTCAATCCCATGAGTCAGTGATGGCAGCTCATTTGTTCCCTGCTAGCGGCAGCACCCAGAAAGCAAACTGGCTGCTCTCTCCTCTCTCTCTCTTTCTCTTTCTGAGATAATAACTCCTTGGCAAAGCTGTATCTGGAATTTAAATGTCTCTGTAAGTATGAAACAAATAGCATTTCAGAGGCGTCTGATCTTTTCTCAAACAAGTCCATGCTCACAATTGCGCCCTCTCAGGTCTCATTAGAGATCAGTAACAAATCAGGAACTAACATATCATGTCTCTAGGCTACTCCAGGTATTCAGAGAGCCCAGAACCCCGCTATTTTTGCTTCCTAAGTGAGTGACACAGCTGCCGTTTTGAACAGTCTTAGGGCAAGAGCTTCTGCAGTCCTGTGAGCCAGAGTACATCCTCACAGTGAAAGGGCCATTGTCAGCCATCAGAGGTCAGAAGGCTGTGATCCTGTCAGCAGAGTCCCTCCCTGCTTGCAAAGCCGTTCCTCCTGCTTTCTGTCACCTCTTTCTTCTATCCTACCACTGTCTCCAGAAAACAAAATTAAAAACAAAACAAAACGCAGGAAGTGGGTACGGTGTGTTTGTACAGAAATCAAACATTCTGAAAACAATGGGAATTGTGGTAGTCATGACTGAATTTAAATGAAACCTACATTTGTGTGAAACTTTGGCACATAAGCCTCTTTATCTTCTCCAAGATCTGCAGCTGAGTCATGTCTCATTCCCCACTCTCAGCATAACAGATGCAGGAGTGGAAGCTTAGAAACCCTGGCTGGCTTGGGGAAGGTCAGGGTAGGAGGGGTGTGAGGTGTACTGGCTGCTGCTGGGGCTCTTCCTCCAGAGGCCTCTCCAGAGGGAGGAGGGTCAGACAGGATGCAGCCTGAGAAAGAGCAGACACAGAAGGGGGAAATGATTCACGCTCTTTGATGACAGTCACTCATTCAGATTCTCTTGACTCATCGCAGTTTCCACAAGATGCCTCAGAATGAGAAGTGACAACCAAAGCTGCTTCTGGGACTCCCCAAAGGACTTCATCCTCCTGGGCATTTCTGACAGGCCATGGCTGGAGCTCCCCCTCTTTGTAGTCCTCCTGGTGTCCTATGTTCTGGCTATGCTGGGAAACATCTCCATCATCCTGGTGTCCCACCTGGATGCCCAGCTCCACAGCCCTATGTACATTTTCCTCAGCCACCTGTCCTTCCTGGACCTCTGCTACACCACCACCACAGTCCCTCAGATGCTGGTCAACATGGGCAGTTCCCAGAAGACCATCAGTTACGGTGGCTGCACCGTGCAATATGCCATCTTCCACTGGCTGGGCTGTACTGAGTGCATTGTCTTGGCCGCCATGGCTCTGGACCGCTATGTGGCCATCTGTGAGCCCCTCAGGTATGCCATTATCATGCACCGCCGACTCTGCCAGCAGCTGGTGGCTACAGCCTGGCTCAGCGGCTTTGGCAACTCCCTAGTTCAGGTCATCCTGACGGTGAGATTGCCTTTCTGTGGGAAGCAGGTGCTGAACAACTTCTTCTGTGAGGTGCCGGCCATGATCAAGCTGTCCTGTGCCGATACGGCAGTGAATGATGCCACGCTGGCTGTGCTGGTGGCCTTCTTTGTGCTGGTCCCTCTGGCCCTCATCCTCCTCTCCTATGGCTTCATTGCTCGGGCAGTGATGAGGATCCAGTCCTCCAGGGGACGGCACAAAGCATTTGGGACTTGTTCTTCCCACCTGCTGGTGGTGTCCCTGTTCTACCTCCCTGCAATCTATATGTACCTGCAGCCCCCATCCAGTTACTCCCAAGAGCAGGGCAAGTTTATCTCCCTCTTCTATTCTATAATCACCCCTACCCTTAACCCTTTCATCTATACCTTGAGGAATAAGGACGTGAAGGGGGCTCTCAGAAGACTTGTAGCAAGGGCTGGGGGGCTATGTGGCAGGTGAAGGTCTAACCTGGGCAGAGCTGCATCACTCACAGAAGCTTGGGGGAGGTTTGTAGTTCCGTGGGGGTACAGCGCTTGCTTGGCATGCGTGATGTACTGAGTTCAAATGCTTGGAACAGCAGGTTCTTTGAGAGATTTTAAAGTTTCAAAAAACACCATGCCACCACGTGGTTGCTGGAAATGGAATTCATCACCTCTGTGTACATGCAGACAGAACACTGTATATATAATAAATAAATTTGAAGAAAACCCACACCGAAATATATCACCTTCCATGTGGCAATAATGCTTAAAATCCCATCTCTAAGAGTAAGGTGCATTCTCAAAGCACAGTCCTATGAAGCCATTTATCATCAAGAATTACCTAAATGACTTGGTGTTCACAAATACTTTTTAGACTGTTTCGTTTCTAACTTCCTAGCTCTTTCCTTTTCTCCTTCTTCCTGTGTTTCGTCTATTGTTTCCCATTTATCTCTGTAAGCCTTTCTTCACCTGAGTCACTCCAGATGTTTACAAGAGGAGCCTAGCACAGTCTTATCTCACTTACAATAAACATCTGTTTTTCATGGACTGAAACCTTGATAAATTTTGTATTCCTTTTTTTTCCCAAAAACATCGTAAGAATGACATGGCTGCATTCTTTTCATAACCACAGATGATCTCCTTCTTCTTGTGGTTCAAATTGCCTTTGGAGTAACTTTTCGCAGCATTAACTGAAAACTTTATGCTGTGGGAAGTGATGATTCCCCATGAGAATACATGAGTGGAAAGAGATAGACCTAACCTCTCACCGTACAGATGGACATATTACAGTGGGGAATACGGCAACAAATACAATGTTAACAATGATAAACCCTCATAGAAAACATTCAAGAGATGAAGATGTGGAGCTCAGTGCTAAAGCGCCCACCTAGCCTCGTCCTGGCTTTGCTCCCCAGGGCCACACCCAAGAAATGCTGAAGGTGATTACAGCTAACACTTGTAGGAGGCTTCTGTGATGTTGATGATATGATGTGTGTGTGGAAGTATGAAACCTCCAATCCTGATCCTCATGATGTAATCACTTTTGCAATTCCCCCTTCCAAGTGAGAGAGTGCTAAAGGTTGTAGTAATCACGTCAGTTATTATAGACTTCTGGTAGCCAAGGAAATGGGAGATTCTCACACACACCCGCCTGGCTGCCTCCTTCACTGACATGGAGCTACTGCAGACACCTTAGATTTTTTTGCATTTGGTTTTCTTTCTTTTTCTTTTTTTCCAAATGCACATGGAATTTATTTATAATAAAATGCAAACAGTGAGAACAGTTGTGAAACAATCAGGAAAGCCATGTGCAAAAGTTACATTCAAAATGTTTAGCTTATATGTATCTGGCAACCTTGAAGGAAATACTATCTATCCTATCTAGATGAGTCTAAAGTTTTGCACCAAATCATTCTCTTTCGTATCTCGTATTTATCAACCTAAAAACATCTTCTAGACCTTAAAACATTTTCTTATATCCTAAACAACTTAAGCCTAACTGTGAAACTACAATGATCTAGTCTAGAAACCACATCAGAGACTTGAGGGGGGATTAAGTAGGAGGTGCAGGCAAGCAGCATCTAAAACTAAGAGATGACAGAGACAGTTTACTGTCTGGTCAGTCATCCTTACTCTCTCTATAATATTGGAGCATCATCTTCAGCCTTCTAGCCCAGTATATCTGGCAGACATCACTGTGAGGCAGGAATTATGAAGGACTTGCCCTGTCATGGCAGAGTTTGGCAGTCAACTCAGCCTGCGTCTGAGTCTTGTCCTGGTTTTCTCTCTTTTTTAATTAGACCATTATTGAAGATTTATTTGATTTTAATTTATGTGTACATATGAGAAGCAGAGGCCAGGAGAGGGCATCAGATCCTCTAGAGCTGGAACTGAACTCAGGTCCTCTGCAAGAGCAACCAGCACTCTTAGCCACTGAGCCGTCCCTGTCCCTCCAGCACCTTGCATTTGTTTTCACATCCTTTCAGATCCTTTTATACTGAACTCTTTGTTTCTATCCTGCTGCCTTGATAGGCACTATTAATGTAACCAAGCCTAACCAATTAACAATAGATGAAAATCAGGAAAAGACAAAAATTAAGAAAGCATTTCTAACAGTGAGAGCAAAGCTTAAAAGCAAGTCACAGAGCTGAAGAATCTGATTTAAGAAATGTGAAAAATAATGACTTTCCAGGTTCAGGACCATGGTGTTTTTTTCCAGTGGATTTTCATAGAGCTGTCACTGCATAGCAGCTCAAAGCCCTTTTCTATCCCAGAGTAACAGAGAAGAGCCCTTAAGAGATGACACAAATCCAAGCCACAGTCAATAAAATTAACATGATAAGAATCATTTAAAAAGGTCATCAGTATGTATATATGTATAGATAGAGAGAGAGAAAGAGAGAGAGACAGAGAGAGAGACAGAGAGAGAGAGACTTGATTTGATCTAATTCTAGGACACATTTGAGCATCGAGACTTGTGTTTCCCAAAACAGATGTGTTTAACTGCACTCTCCAGTTCTCTTCACCTGTGAAGGCTAGGCTTAGTGACTTTCTTGGCCACTTCAACTAGGTGAGAGATTCTCTAGAGCTTCCTGGACGACATTGTAAGATACCTGGAAATGTAGTTAGCTGTGTTCTTGTATTCTCGGGTACCCAAGTCACCAAAATGTTCATTATCTGTAAGACTGGCCACGCTGGGGAGGCCACAACGGAAGTGCCATGTGAGCCGCTGGATCCTCCAACCAGGTAACCCCAATACCAGACACAAGAACCAGCCAGAAGAAACCTGAGCAAAGCTGTGGTCCCTCAAAGGATGAAATATAATGGTTTTCAAGCCCAGGCATTGGCATGGGCTTTCTCGCAGCAGAGGTGCTTGGAGCAATAGGGGTCCCTTAGACTCTCAATTTTCATAGACATGTAACACCACAGGATAAGCACAAAGAACTTCTATTTTAAAAAGATGTTTGTTTTTAAATTTATTTGATTGGTGTTACGCCTATGGAGGTCAAAGAGGGTGTCAGATCCTCTGGAACTGGAGGTACATACAGATGGTTGTGAGCCAGCATGTGTGTTCCTCAGGAAGAGCAACCAGTGCTCTTAACCATTGGTCCATCTCTCAAGTCCTGAGAATGTCTATTACTCAGTTATAAAGTGGTTAAGTGATTCACTCACAACTAAATTAAAGCATTTTGACCTGACAAACTGCTATGTAATAGATTTGTGTCACGCATGGCAAGAATTTGACAACACAGAGATAAAGTGTCACAATTCAGTTTCCCATGATACAGAAGGCAAATGTGTTGATAAGTATTCAAACCTTAGACGGAGGTTGGGGGCTCAGCTTAGTACTAGAGTTCCATCACCATCATGACTGCTGCTGCTACTAGCACTGCACACACACACACACACACACATACACACACACACACTCACGAATGCACGCACACATGCAATACACATACATGCGCGCGCGCACACTTCTAAGCAGGCAACGTGTTTGAACTGAATTATGTACCACACGCTTTTAAATCAGTCTTACTAGGGGGATGTAGCTCAGATGGTGGAGGCTTGCCAAGGACCCACGAAGCCCTGGGTTTGAGCTCCAGCATCCCATGCACTGAGTAGTGGCCCACGCCTGTGGCACCAGCACTGGAGTGATGGAGTGGGGGAGCATCGGGAGTTCACGGGGGAAAGAACAGACTATTTTTCTCAAAGGCCAGCTCATAAAGACAATGTTCAGCAGCATGGCTGCTTTGCCCTTGCACAGTTCCCTTACGTTAACAGCTCACCAGCCACATTTCCATAGCAGAGGCAGGGAGGCCCCACTGAACAATACGAAACAGTGTCTCTGCTCTGAGCAATGCTTCGTGGTTTAAAGGTTGTCTCTGTGTACAGAACAATCGGTCAGCATTTATTTGTGATTAGCAGTGTGTGCTGCTTAGGAGCTGATCTTCAAATGGGTAAACCTAAGCTGTTGTCACCCATGGGCAAGATGCATTTTCTAACAGAGCTGAAATCCTTCCTCCCAAATCTCAGATTTTTTCCCCACTAACCAAAGCTGAATTATTTTGCAAAAAGATTTTTTAAATATGTAAAGTGATTTATTTTTAGTACTTTGGACAAATAACTTAAAAGAATTCCAGATACATTTTTAAATTAAGAAAGCAGTGCATACATACAATAAATACAAAACAAAACAGGTTTTATAAATCTCTTGAGTTTTCAGGTAGCCGAGCAGAAAACATAACTATTAAAAAAAAAAAAAAAAATAGCTGCCACAAACTTGCTATCTAGCGCACCCAGCCCCTTACACGGTAGAGTCGAGTTAACAGAGAACAACAATGATATGAGCAAGTGTGGGGAAAATGAGAGGGGGGGGGTGTTAAAAAGAACAGCACAGGAGGAGGAAAGGACAAATCAGCATGGTTTCTAGAAGCTGGTTCCATGGGTCGCCAAGAGGGAACACCTTGCCCTTCCAGTGATGGGAGCCGAACCCTCTGGCCGTTTCACATTATCAGTGTCTTCGCTGGGGAAAACACGCTTGGCTTCCCACAGGAGCCTTTGCTGCAGCCCCTGAACTGGACGCCCTGGCTTGGTCTGATGGTGGAGGAGGGCTTGACAGCAGTGATGAACAGTGGGCAGTGGGGTGTGGAGCAGGACCGTGGAGCCTGGCAGCCCTGCCACCACGGTCCTGCTTCTACGCCTACCAAGAAGGCTCAAAGACAATGGTCATCTCAGGCTTTTCTTCCTGAAGCGCTTCTAAGGCACGTTTTGTTTCGCAATTAAAATACATTTCTCCCAACCTGTAAAAGCAGAAAGCAAGCTCTGGGTTAGACGCTTCAGAAAACTGCAGATACTCCAGACAAGTTCCGGCCCCGTTGCGTGCCCCCGGCCGCCCCTGGCCTCCCTGCGAGGCCCTCCACAGACTGCACTCACTGGAGGCTCTGCAGGTGGCAGCCCTGCTGCTTGAGAACCTCGCAGAGCATCATCACCCCCAGATCGCCCAGGTCGTTGTTGCCCAGGTGCAGCTTCCGAAGGCTCAGGTTGCAGGTCAGGATGGTGGAGAGGCTCCAGCAGCAGTGGGAGGTGAGGCTGCAGTTGTCTAACCTTTGAGAGAAGGAGGGTGAGCTAAAGAAAACAGCCTCAGCAGTCCAGCCCTTCAGGCCTCCAAGATCTTAGCCTGCCCTGTGTCATGAGCATAAAAAGCCCCGGGGCTGACCAGCCTGAAGCAGCTTTATCGCACGGTCGTTTCTCTCCTCTCTTTTGATGAAAGTTTCTTTTCCTGATCTACTGAATTATGCAGACCAAAATAGTAACAGAAATATGCTAACTGACTTTTTTTTTTCCTAAACATAATGTTCCTCCAGATTTCCACAAAATACCAATGAACCATATGAACTTGTCTGGGGTCACAGGGGCTGTGGTGTCAGGAACTCGACTTTTAAACTTTACACCTAGAGACCTCCCAATTCTCTCTCATAATCTGACACCAGGAAGACTCCTCATTCCTCAGACAGAGATTTGCTTCACGGTCATTCCACCCACGTTCTGCCTCACACCACACATTCCCATCACCTCAGGCAGCCCACGGACTCACTCCAGCATCTGTAGCTTGCAGTTAGGATGCAGAAGTCCCTCACAGAGGAACTTCAGCCCCGAGTCTCCAAGGGCGTTACTTCGAAGGTAGAGGTGTGTGAGGTTCTGGTTGGTTTTGAGCACAGTGGCCAGAGCTGAACAACCAATCGAAGTAAGGCCAGAATTCACCAACCTATAGGAAGAACAGAAGAAAGGGTCTCAGTGCCCAGGCTCTCTCAGACAGACATCACAAGGCACTTTGAAACGAATCCTCCGATGCAAGGTTTGAAGCCAGCCTCTTGAATATAATTTGAAGCATGGCTCCAGTCTCTGAATCCCATAGAAGAGATGGATAGAGAGAGAGAGAGAGAGAGAGAGAGAGAGAGAGAGAGAATAATTGGATGCACCCACACTTCTCATACAGATGTCTTGGCAGTGGACACACTTTGCCATGCCACCTCTCCTAAAAGAAAACCCCACCCCCCTCTAACCAATAATCCTTTGTAGAGACCCATGGTGATTCTGATACCACCCTGGCAAGGTAGCAGGGCAGCCATAACTACCACATACTACCTATCAATGGGAAGAGTAGGATCAACCAAACTCCCATGAGAAAGAGATTATGAATGACAAGGAAAAGCAGAAGAACAGGCCAGGCCCTTGGAACATAAAACTAATATAATACAACTAAGGAGGAAGGGAAGGTGGAATGGTAACTGGAATTTCTCCAAAAGAAAAAAGGAGATCATCTTACACCCATCAGAATGGCTAAGATCAAAAATTCAAGAGACAACGCATGCTGGGGAGGTTGTGGAGAAAGGGGAACCCTCCTCCATTGCTGGTGGGAATGTAAACTGGTACAACCACTATGGAAATCAATTTGGCGCTTTCTCAGACAATTAGGAATAGTGCTACCTCAAGATCCAGCTATACCACTCCTAGGCATATATCCAAAAGATGTTCAAGTACACAACAAGGACATTTGCTCTACCATGTTTGTAGCAGCTTTATTAATAATAGCCAGAACCTGGAAACAACCCAGATGTCCATCAAAGGAGGAATGGATAAAGAAATTGTGGTACTTTTACACAATGGAATACTACTCAGCAATTAAAAACAAGGAAATCATGAATTTTGAAGGCAAATGGTGGGATCTAGAAAAAATTATCCCGAGTGAGATATCCCAGGAGCAGAAAGAGACAAATGGTATATACTCACTTATAAGTGGGTACTAGACCTATAAGATAGGATAAACATACTAAAATATGTACACCTAAAGAAGATAAACAAGAAAGACGACCAGGGATAAGATGACCAATCCTCATCTAGAAAGACAAAGGAGATGGACATTGGAAGTAGGAGTAAACAAGTAACAGGACACTAGTCTACCACAGAAGGAACCTGAAAGACTCTGTCTAGCAGTGTATCAAAGCAGATGATGAGACCCATAACCAAGTCTTCAGCAAAGTGTAGGGAATCATATGAAGGAAGGAGGAATTAGTATAACCTAGAGGGGACAGGGAGCCCCACAAGTTCCAAATATATCTGGGCACAGGGGTCTTCTCTGAGATTGTTTATCCAACAAGGACCATGCATGGATATAACCTACAACCCCTGCTCAGACATAGCCCATGGTAGCTCAGTATTCAAGTGGGTTCCCTAATAGGGGGGACAGGAATTGTTTCTGACATGAACTCAATGTCTGGCTCATTGAGCTTCCCCCCCCCCCCACCAAGGGAGGAGAAGCAGCCTTGCTAGGCCACAGATAAAGACATTGCAACCATCCTGAAGATACCTGATAAGCTAGGGCCAGATGGAAGGAGAGGAGGACACCCCCTCTCAGTGGACTTGGAAGGGGGCAGGGAGGAAATGAGGGAAATAGGGGAGGATTGGGAGGGAAAGAGGGAGAGGGATACAGCCGGGATACAAGTGAATGTATAAAATTATTTAAAAATAAAAAAATATTAAAAAAAAAAGAAAAAAGGAGAGAGGAGAACAAGACAAGACAAGGAAGGAACTGAAAGTAGTGGAAACATGTAACTGACCTCTGTGAACTTCCAGAAAAACTCTGGAAAGTACCCTGGTCAGCAAGGGGTAAAGCAGGGGCAGGAATGGATCTAACAGCGGTGGAGGGAAGGGTGTTATAACAGCTAAGGCAAGTTTTACGTGCCCTTGTGGGGCACAGGGGAAGTGAGACTAGAATGCATTATGTAACCAGGGACACTAGGCTAACGTTCAAGAGAGGAAAATAATATATAAAATGCCTAAAATTTTCAGTTTGTTTGTTCCACAGTACGGAATCTATTGTGAAAGAAATACACATACACACATGAGAGAGAAAGAAGAATAAAGTTACATATACAAGCATGTGTTTTACAGTTACACATACAAGCACGTGACTTTTAACAGTAAAAATGTAGAACTTTTCCAAAAGTGCTTGACTTAATGAGTGACTGAAAAAAAAATGATGGTTATGGGTACTATGAGGTGTTGTGCTCCAAACCAGACCTTCACGAAGCCATATGGAAATGTATCCAGATAGGTGAAAAGCAAGTCAAGGAAAAAAATTTCTACTGTGTTTGTAGTTTAAATTGCTAACTACACTACACAACTGGGTTGAATTCTGTCCTCCCAAAACTTCGTATGTTGAAGTTTCAGCTCTTTAAAATGTGACTGTGACTAGACCCCAAGCCTCACATGTAACTGGTTGAGATGAGGTCATTAGGTGGGTCCAAATTTAATATGATTGACATCCTGATCAAAACTGGAGCTTCTGACTGGAGAGGTGGCTGAGCACTTAAGAGAGCTTGCTGTTCTTGCAGAGGTCCCGCGTTTGGTACCCAGCACCCAGGTCAGGCAGATCACAACCATCTATAATGCCAATTCCAGGAGCTCTGATCCCTTTTTCTCTCCTCTTTGGCATCGCACTCATATGTGATAGCCTCCCTCAACACACACTCATGAACATAATTAAAAATAAGTAAACGAAATCTTAGCACCACAACTTGGGACTCAGTGTTACACACAGAGACGCAGGGAAAACCCTGTATGAAGATGAAGGCCACAGACAAGCTGTGCATATGTGAGCCAACATGCCAAGGACTGCCAGTAAAAGAAACAACAAAAGAATGCACTCTAGCTCATGTCCCTCAGAGAAACCAACTCTGACAATACCTAACCCCCCACCTCCAGAACTGAGAGACAACTTATGCTGTCTAAGCCATTATGTTTGGGGTACTGTGTTATAGCAACCTTAGGAAACACGTACATATAAAATATTTGGCTAGAAGGATGGCTAGCTGGGTAAGTATATAGAGGAGCAGATGCATGGGTCAACATGTGGACTGATAAAGCAATTGATAATGCATGGACATATGGAAGGATGGGTGTTTGTGTATAACACAGTGTCTGCAATTTTGCTTGCCAGGTTTGTAAGTGGCTTTCCCCAGAGGCAGAAAAAGTTTTCACGTTTAACATCAACTATCTGGATAATTCATTATATTAAACTAAATATATGTTATTTTTTGTAAGAAAAAAAACAACTCATAGTGGAATCTGGGTGTGAAATCTGTTTTGAAGACATCTGTCCATGGGTAGTCATTGGGGCTTAGGGGTACATAAGACATCTCAGAGGGTGTAGAAGAAATTAGTAGAAAATCAGCAGCAAAATCCACAGATGACAGGAAGAAAAGGCAATGCAGAATTTCCAGAAGAGGAACCCATCAAACCAACAAGGTTGGCAGCAAACACAGGGAAAGGAGCTCGAGGAAGAAGAGATGGATGAACTGAAGCTGCAGACACCAGCCCAGCTAAGGACTGACAGGGTCGGGGCAACACATGCTGCCATATACTGCAGGCTCCTCGGGGCTCTGTTTGACCACCCCTCCCCTGCAGCAGCGTGTGTGCTACCATCACCATCACCACAGAGCTCCAAGGTTCCTAGAAAGCTCAGAGGTCACATGATATCTGTTGGTCAAACAAAGAGCATCAGAGCCCCATTGCATTGGAAGAGCCAGATAGCACCCGTAACATTCTAGAAAAGCAACTCGGTAACGATGGGACGGGGCTAACAGGACAAGCCCAAGGAAGTACCGTAGTTAATACTGGTTGTTAGTTATGGCTAACTGACTATCCCTCAGGAAAAAAAAAAAGTCTGTCTTGTTAGTGCTGGAGGGTTTTTAGATTTTTTTAAAACACATGATCTCAAACCCTCGATGTAACAGAGTAGGACCTTGAACCTCTGATCATCCTGCCTTTCCCTCCCAAGTGCTAGGATTATGTGGGTATACTCCAAAACCCAGTTTATTCTATACTAGGGATAGAACTGATATGTGATGGAAGTTTTGGTTTCTTTAAAAACCCAGTCATGTTATGTAAATATGTTTTTGTTTTAATCCCAAGAGTGGGATTTTAGTTTGAGCTTTAGTTTGTTCACAGCTGGTAAGTGCTTCATTGAGGGCATGGTCTTTGCCAGCTGCTAATGGCCTGGCTCAGGCATCACAGAGAGGGGCATGGTCTAGGACTCTGACTCTGACTGGGATAAATATGAGAACCCAGGAAGAGAAAGTGTGGCAGTTTGGGGAGAACAGAGACAGGGGGTGTGCTGGCTTGGAGAGACACGGGAGAGACGCTTCATAGAGCAGTGGCTTGGAGTAGATAGAAAGTGGAGACTGCTTGCTGCGTTGGCTGTTGAGGGAGATTGGTATTGACCCAAAAGAATCCATCAATCCTAAATAGCTGGAGGAAATAAATGGTTTTACCACCTTTCCACTAACGTTTTTTCTCTCTTACCGAGGGGTAAGGGACTGGTGGAAGGGAGGAAGAGGCTTAAATACTCCAAATAAAATAACGTTAAAAACTAACAGAAACATGCTGAGCAAACACTCTAACAACTGAATCACATATCCACACTCATTTTGTTATATTTATTTTTTTCCCCCTGAGGCAGGGTCTCATATGTAGCTCCAGTTACCTTAGAACTCACTAGGTAGACCAGGCTGGACTCAACATCACAGAAATCTACGTGCCTCTGCCTCCCTTATGCTGGGATTAAAGGCCTGTACCTCTATGCTAGGCTTGTCATACTGTGCCCTAAATACTTCTCCAACTGCCATTTCTATCACTAGTAGAAAAAGAAATTCAGTTTATTTGTTATATTTACAGATATTGACAGAACGAACATTTAGTCTTTCCTGGCTGATTTCACAGAGATGAGGTAAGTTAGGAGCAAATGCTGAAGCCCTACAGACAATGCACTTGCAAACTATAACCAGGCTGAGGGCAGACTACTCACAAAGGTGTGGGCTGAAGAACCACACAAGGATGTCTGCTGCTTAGCCAGCATCCACAGGCAGAGATCTGATGCTCCGGAACCACATTTCACCTCTTCAAAACACAGGCACTGATCACTACTTAGCTCCATTTGCCTGAAGCCAAAGGAGCTGATTGACACCGGGATCATGAGAGAGCAAGAATGCCCACTAGCTGGTTGCTTGTCTGTGTCTCTATTTGCTGCAGAATTACAGCTCAAAAACCTGAAGTGGGGCCAGCAAAATGGCTCAGCAGGTAAAGGCACTTGCTGCCAAGCCAGATGACCTGAGTTCCATCCCTAAAATCCATGTAAAATGGAAGAAGACAGGCACAGTGGCGAATGCCTTAATCTCAGCAGTGAGGAGGCAGAGGCAGGAAGATCTCTGTGAGTTTGAGGCCACCCTGGTCTACAGAGTGAGTCCAGGACAGCCAAGGCTACACAGAGAAACCCTGTCTCGAAAAACCAAAGAGAGAGAAAATGTAAGAAGAGAAATGACTCCATAACGTTGTCTTTTGACCTCTACACGTGTACTGTGGTGCATACTAAATTAGTAAATAATAAATACATAAGTAAGCAAATGTTGTGAATTATTTTTTAAGTTAAAAAAAGGGTGCCATGCCACAGAAGGTGAAAGTCTCACTGTGTCTTCAGGGCTGGATGCCAAAAGAGCCATCCACAATCCAGCTGGTACCCGAGAGCATGGCTGCACTAGTGCTGATGATGCAGCACCTCACAGCTGAGGTTAGAGACATCTGTGCATTTAAGTATGATGCTGTGTCTGGGAACCAGAGGCTGGAGCTGCTGCCCCACGCCCTGTGGAGAAAGGCCAGCACCCAAGGGCTCAGAACCTAAGAAGCTCTGTGGGAGTAAGAACCCAAAGCCAGGGACATGCTTTGCAGAAGGGATTTGCATCCTTGAAAGCGCTCACACATTAAACGGGTTGGTCCTGTGCATCTTTAGAAGCAAGTTCTGTGCTCAATGACAGAAATGGGGCTGCCAACCCCTAAGAAGCCCCGACAGCACAGCCATAAGTCAGTAGAACCTACCTCATCCATCAGCAGTCATACAGCGCTCCCCAGTGACCTTGCGTAAATGGCTCCAAGACACCCCCACAGGTGCCAGAATTTGCAGATGCTCATGTCCCCCATGCACAATGGCAGTGTGTTTGCATGTCACCTCTGTAATCCTCCCATGGGCTGTAAACTAGCTCTAGATTGTTTATGATACCTATCACGGCATACGTGTTACACTATAAGTAGTTACTATGCTGTGCTGTTCAGGGGACAATGACAAAGAGGAAAGTTCATATATGTGTAAGCACAGACATAATTTTTCCTAACATTTTTAACCCACAGCTGGCTAAGCCCATGGCGACCTGGATCTGCAGTGCAGAATCCCAGTGGGGGCTCCGGGTCTCCAGTGCTTCATCTCCAGCTGATGAACCATTTCTGGAGTGGCCCCACCCATGCTTTCCAAATAACCCATCTCTGAAAAGAACCTGATTTTCCACAGGAGGTACGAAGACCTACTTACCCCAACTTCTGCAAGTTACATTGTGGGTCCTTGACTTTTTCACACAGAACACGAACTCCTGAATCTCCCAAGGCATTTTCTCCCATGTACAGTCTGGTCAGAGAATGGTTGGAACTCAGAACCAAGGCGAGATCCTGACAACACGCAGATGTGAGACAGCAGCTGACCAACCTTCCGTGCAGAGGGGACAAGGTCAGTGCCATCTCTCATGGACTCTGCACCATATGCTAGGACACTGTGCCTGCTGCTGTTCTCAGCTAAAATCTACACCTCAGCTCTACATGGCTCTCATCCTCTTCTCCATTGGTGAAATACAGGTAAGTATTCCTGCACGAGAACATCTGTCTTACTCCCTTCATTTGTTATTGAAATAAAATGTATATATGAGGCCAGGAAGATGGCTCAGTGAGTAAAAGCACTTGCTGCCAAGCCTGAGAACCTGAGTTTAACCCTAGAACCCACAAGAAGGCTCTAAAAATTTGTCCTTTGACCTCCATACAAACTTCATGGCACGTACATATGTGTGTGCTCACACAAACACACACACAGACACACACACAATAAATTCTATAAAACAGTCTTTTAATGAATATGTGATAAAATTTGTCATCTTAACCACTTTTAGGAGCAGAATTTTACTGAGGCCTGGTAGCAGAGGCCTGCAGTCCCAGCTACTCAGGAGGCTGAGGCAAGATGATCAAAAGCTAGGGATATCTGGACAACTTAGCAAGATTCTGCCTCAGGATGAAAATGGAAAGGGTGTGGAACAGAATGCTCACTTAACATATGAGAGGACCTAGATTCATCGCCCATCACACACACGCACGCACACATGCACACACGCACGCACACACACGCGCACACACACAGAGCAGACCTCAGTGCCCTTTAGAGCAGCCACCATTACTATCCATTTCTGATCACCTTTATTTTACAAAACTCAAGCTCTCTGCCCATTAAAACAAAACAAGCAAGCAAACAAAAGCTCCCCATTTCTTCCCTGCCAGTCCCTGGAAGCTACCTACCATCATGTCTTGTATTACGAATTTAAGCAACTTGGGGTTCTTCAAGTAAGTGTAATCACCGTGTTTGCCCTTTAGTGACAGGCTCATCTCACTGCATAGAACACTCTCAAGGCTTGTCTCAATTTCAGCAAGTGTCAGACTTCATTCAAAGCTGTGTGTGTGTGAAAACACCACTTTCTGTGCATTGTCCATCAACACACACAAGAAAGCCTCTGACTTCTGACTGCCATGCTCTGGATTGATGTACACAAACGTAGTGCCCAGGCAGCAGACAGGACAAAAACACGGGATCAAACACGGCTCCACGCTCAGGTGTGTGAGCACCACCGTGCTGCTCGCCATGTTTTACATCCTTGCTTGCTTGTTCCACATCCATGCTTGCTGCTGTCTACATTCCCTCCAGAGCAGTGGTTCTCAGCCTTCCCAATGCTGCGACCCTTTAATTCAGTTCCTCATGCTGTGGTAACTAATAGCTATAAAGTTATAAAGTTATTTTCACTGTTACTTCATGACTGTAATTTAGCTACTGTAAATATCTGTGCTTTCCATTGGTCTTAGGCGACCCCGGGAAAGGGCTGGTCTACCTCCAAAGGGGTCTCAACCCACAGATTGAGACTCCACTGTACTAGAGAGACAAAATTTCCGTTCTCCAAGTCCTTAGTCCTTACCAACACTAGCCTAGTTTCTTATTTGTTTGTTGGTGGGTTTGTTTTCTATGATAATCCTGGTGATGAACTATGACTCAGTACCACCTGATCAACTCATATTTTTTTTTTGAGACAAGGTCTCATGGGAGCCCAGGGTAGCCTAAAATATGTATCAAGAATAACCTTAAGTTTTTGATCCTTCTGTTAACATATCTGGGTTATGGGTTTAATTTGGTGCTGGAGATCAAACTTTGGGCTCAACTTGTATGCTAAATAAGCCCACTACCTATTGATCTGCATCCTTGGCCCTCAAGCACTTTCTTATCTTTTTAGAATTCAAGCATTCAGTAAGGAGTGCATTCAATAAAAGATCTGCCTCTGCTGCTTTAGCGCCATTTTCTTCTATTTAGTGTGAGGCCTAGTGGCTTATTATCATCACAAGGCTCTCAAAACTCTTCTACCATGAGGCCTTGCAGTGTTTTTATATTCTCAGGTGCCTTAAAGACAAACAGTTTTCTTGATTATTTATAAACACACACACACACACACACACACACACGTGCCTGCACATGCGCATACATACCACTGCCATATTTTCACATGGAGCTTTCCTCACAGCAGTCACTGCCTGACTGAATGACTGGCAAACTAGCAGAGGAGAACACAGGAAGTCCTCTAGGCCACTGAGAATATTCTCCTCCTCACACACGAGCTGAGATCTCGTCGTGTCTCCCTGAAGCAGAGTTCCTGAGAGGAACCTACCTCCATGGCAGAGCTGCCTACGGGAGGCGGGCCGGACTCACCAGAGTTTCTTCAGGGTGCAGAATAGGTGCTTCAGTCCCACACACAGAAGTCTGACTCCAAAGTCCTCCAGGGCGTTGTCGCTGAGATCCAGCTCCACCAGCTTCTGGCTGCTGCTGCTCAGGACAGAGGCAATGTCGGAACAGCACTGATGGGAAAGTCCGCAGCGCCCCAGCCTTCACACCAGGTACAGAATCGGACATCAGAGGGTGGCCTTTCTCAGTACCTACACTAGATCCTACGTGTTCCCCAGACCCACAGGTTCAAAATATGGGAAGGGGGTGAGATCTCTGGGAAGGGGAGCCTACAGGAAGACCCATGGGACACGTGGACACTGAGGGGGTTGACTGTAAAGGGATACTGAGACACTGTTCTGTCCCTGTCTCTCTCTTTCCCCCTCACTCTTGCTCTCTTTCTCCTTTCCTATTCCATCATGAGGTGCACAGAAGCCTCTACCATATAAAAAATGCTAACGTGATATTCTGTGTCCCCACAGGCCCAAACAACAGACTCAACTGACGATGGACTAAAACCAGAAGCCAAAACAAATCTTTCCTCCTTTTAAGTTGACCATCTCAGGCATTTATCAAACGGATGGAGAGCCGACTCCTTCACTTGTTTTCCCCGTCTGGAGGTGGTTTAGGCACCAGGCAGGAGCAGATGTGTTCTGGAGTAACCAGAGTCCCTGGGCAATGCACAGGACAGATTAGCAGTGCGCTTCTCCTGCCTGGTCACAGCCCAGGGCTATGGGGCTGACTGACTTTTCAGGTGCACAAAGGGCATATCCTGGATTGTAAACAAAAAGGGTGGTGAGCCTGGAGCCTCTTCTTCACCAGTTTCTCACTGTTGAAGCACCCTCATTAGGCATGTGTCACTGGAGTTTTTGTCTACAAGGTAAAAAGTCTTTGCTTGCACCATGATAATTTAATCCTACTGCTCTCTCTCTCTCTCTCTCTCTCTCTCTCTCTCTCTCTCTCCATTGAGAAATTTAGACAGCAAAGCTGACAGGTGTTGTCATAAAGTCCCTATTCTGCTGGGTCGGGGGGGGGGGGACACAGAAGCCACGACCAGGAAAACGAGGGTTTGGGAGAACGAGAAACGAGGGTTTGGGAGAAGAGCAAGTGTAGTCTCTCCATGCTGGGCTGGTCGTTAGCATTCTCCCAGTCTTCGTGCCAACATGTGGGTATACGTGGCCTTGACTCAGTTTCCTTCCTGGTGAACAGATCTCCACAAGCCACAAAGAAGGGCTGTGGGGAATGTCAGCAAAGCTGAAGCAGAACCCAGGACCAGATCCTGTGTAAACCTCAGGTCTCTGTCACAGCTGAGATAAGCCACTGATTTTGATGATTTGTGATTCGTTTTATGCACTGTTGTTTGACTCCTTGACCCCAGGAGGCCACAGTCAGAAGCTTGGCCTTCAGTGTGGTGGGGAAGGTGTTGAAACCTTTAAGGGGTGTGAATAAGTACAAAGGAATGATGTCACCACAAGCACTGCCCTCAAAAGGAATTAAAGGAGTTAGTTCTCTTGGGAATTCAGCTAGCTCCTCACAGCAGAGCCAGGGAAGGGACTCAGTGGGCAAATGTTCTTGCCACCCTGACTTAATGCCCTGAGTTCTATCTCAGAACCACGTTCCAACAGTGTCCTCTGACTTCCACATGCATGCTATGACATGTGCAGGACCATATGCACACAGACACAGAAAACACACAACACACACACTTTTTAAAAGAAAAAAATAGAAAATTTCTTTTTTTAAATTGTACTTTTTTTAATTTTGAATTTTCTTATTCCGTATATTTAAAGTTAAAATAGAGCATAGAATGGGGTATATGAAGTTCAAAAATACAAGATAATAATATAGTTCATAGGGTAGAAATATACCATGGAATGGGCTTTGTGGTAATGCTATAATTAGGTAAATATTCAGGGAACAAGCCCAAACAAAAATGGAATAATCATAAATTTTCAATAACATTCAGAAAAATTAAAATAATTCTCCATAACATAGAGCCACTCACAAAGCAGGAGGATTTTTTTTTTAATGTGTTCTGGATGTTTTGCTTGCTGGTATGTTTGTGTACAATGTGCATACAGCACCCACAGAGGCCAGAAGAGGGCACTGGATCTCCTGGATTAGAGTTACAGATGGTTGTGAGCCACTGTGTGGGAGCTGGGACTCAAACCCTGGGCCTCTGAAAGCAAGTATGCTTAACCACTGAGCCATCTCTCTAGCTGCCCCCCCAATTAAATTTGTTTAATTAATCTCCCTTTAATATTAAGGAGTTGGATAAAAGCAGTTACAAGAGGTATTGGACTTGGCAGCTAAGAGCTCTTGTACTTGCAGAGGACCCCAGTTTGGTTTCCAACACCCACATGGTAGCTTACAGCTATCTATTACTTTAGTTCCAGGGAATCTAATACCTTCTTCTGTCCTCCAAGGGCACCAGGCATGCACATAGTACACAGATGTATGTACACACAGACAAAACACTCATGCACATAAAATTTAAAAAATCTACTAGAAAAGGGAAAACAGGTGCAGAGAGACAAAACAGCCAACATCCTGATGCACACTTTTTTAATATTTATTTTTTTTAATTTTTTATATTTTTTAATATTTATTTTTTTATATTTATTCTTTTTAAGACTTGTTTGAGTGTATGTACATGTGCATGCTAGAAGAGGACATCAGATGCCAGTATAGAATGTTGTGAACCACGTGGTTGCTGGGGATTGAACTCAGGACCTCTGGAAGAGCAGGCAGTACTCTTAACCGCTGAGCCATCTCTCCAGCCTCCTCTGATCCACACTTTTAAAGACTGGCATGGCCTGGTGTTGTAAAACTATAGCAAAATAACAGAAATTCTTCCTCAGTGAGCTGACAGGCTAAGCTTACTGCAACATCCAGCACAGTGTTCCAGCCCTGGGCTGGCCAAGTGAGACTGAGAAAAAGCGAAGAGCAGCTTACATAGAAGGTAGAATTGATTTTAAAAACAAAACAAAACAAAACAAAACAAAACGGTGAGGGTGCTGGAGAGATGGCTCAGAGGTTAAAAGCACTGACTGCTCTTCCAGAGGACCTGGGCTCAACTTCCAGCACCCACATGGCAATTCACAACTCTCTGTAACTTCAAGATCTGACACCCTCACACAAACATACATGCAGACAAAACACAAATGCTCATAAAATAAAAATAAATAAATTATAAATTAAAAATGGTGATGGGATGGTGTTTAGTATGATCAAGAGGAAGATGGAGAAATGCCCAAAAGAAATGAACTTAAGAAATGTCAGCTTGCACTCATGGTCCCACTAAAAAAGCCAAAGCAGGAAGATTGCTAGAGCCAGAAAGTATAAGATCAGATTGGGCAACATACTGAGAGCCAGTCATTTACACAAACAAATAAACAAAAATTTAAAAGCTGTATCACTGTTAAAAATTCAATTGCTACATGCATCCACAGAGCATGTGTTAAATTGAGCTGGAAGGATGGTCCAGGAACCTAGCTGGAGGAAATGGTCCAGGGGTCCAGATGCTCAGTAGGCTGAACATGTGGGTAGCACTAGTGAGGCCAGCCATAAGAGATGCACTCTTCATCCCCACAACAATATCCATGATGAAACTTCCCAGTTCTCACCCAGAAGCCTGGTCCATGCAGAAATGGAAGACACAGCCTTTGTTTTGCCACCAAGAAATAGCTTTTCTTAGTTCTTCATTGTTCCCGTCTATAGTTTTCCAAACCTACCTCCAGCCCATTCAGCCTGCACATTTATGACAGAGTCAAATGTGTCCCTCCAAAGCCTCCTATATCAAAATTTCATCCCATAAGACCACAGAGTGTGACCATATTTGGAAATCGGCACTTCAAACAGATAGTTGAACTGAATCCTCAGGGTTGGCCCTAGTCCCGCTGGAGTAGTATCAGTTCAAGAAATGGTTGTAAGAGGTTGTAAGAGGTTAGAGCACAGACACACAGCTGCAAAGACTCAAGGAGGCAATGGCCACCAACAAGCCGGGGAGAGACTCAGACGAATCAGTGGATGTGTGAGTTTGGACTTCTAGCATCCAAACCTGAGATAACAAATGTTATAACCATTAGGATGTGGCCCTCAGTCCTTTTTTACAGTAGCCCTGGGAAGAACTGACCAGACCCATCAAGGATCTTTCTCTTACTGTCTCCTCCCATTCATGTCCTCTCACACACACACACACACACACACACACACACACACACACACACACAC